CACAGACTGCCAGACCTGGCTGACTTGCCAGCAAGTCAGATGCCTGGGGGTACAAATCAGACTTCTCCTTTTCATGAGGATTTTGATGCAGGGGTAAAGAATCTAAAGATGGTATGTTAAGTTAGTAGGAAGAAGAAGTAGAGGAGGAGGAGGATAATCTTAGGAGAAGCAGACAAGGAGGAGGACAGAAGTAGCCCCTCTGTCCTCGTCCTTCTTGTCTATTTCTCCTAAGATGATCTTGCTCTTCCTCCAGTTCTTCTTTCCCACTAACTTAACAGACCATCTTTGCCCCTCCATCAAATTCCTAATCAAAAGAAAGTCTGATTTCATACCCCCAGGCCACTGGCTTGCTTTTCTTTTCTTTTCTTTCTTTTTTTTTTTTTTTTTGGTGGGGAGCCTCACCTGCTGGAAAACGGGTCCAGTGTAGGTCTGGCTGCAGCCCAGACAGACCAGAATCCTGAGAACCCTACCTTCTTCCCCTAAATAGAACATAGTACGGTTATTTTTGCTGCATCTGAATTCTGGACTGAAAGGTGAGACAGAATCCTGAGAACCCTACCTTCTTCCCCTAAATAGAACATAGTACGGTTATTTTCCTGAATCTGGACTGAAAGGTGAGACAGATATATGGCTATAATGACCATACATCATATGCTCTATTCAGGGGAAGACGGTAGTCATTAGGACACCTAACCTAGTACCTGTAAGTCAGTTCGGTTTATAAGGGCGGGCTCACGCTAGCAAAGAGTATTGGATCAAGTCCCCGAATCTGGATGACATTTTGTGTTTTATGCATGGATGCAGAAAACACTAGCAAAGTGTATTGAATTAGGTGCCTGCAATGGGGGGGATGCTCGAATCAACCCGTGTAACAACAGCCAGGATGTTTCTCCCAAAAAAAAAAAAAAAAAGGATTATGTGCCTGAATATGGGTGGGTGTTTTATGCATAGATGAAGAAAAGCAGATCAATAGCAATTTTCTGCACCTCTTCACAAACACGTCCAGATCCGGGCATTACATCCAATCCTCTTCGCCATTGGAACCTCACCCTGACTTGTCCTAAAGTCACTGGTTGTACACAAAGGAGGATCCCTACACTTGGAGGCAGAAATGAACACATCCCCCCTCCCCCTTCCCCTCCCCCTCCCCCTCCCCTCCAAGCTCACCAGAAGTAAGACACTGCTCCCCTTGGAACATTTCACCAGGTTGCTCCCCTTGAATATTTTTCTGTCTGAACACCCATTCGCATCTAGATCGTCTGACACGGTCGGTCCTTTCTAAGCTAGAAGCCCATGTTGCAACCCAATTTGCACTCTCCGGTATTCGCATTCATAACGGGGACAGTATAGTACCCCCTATGATCGCCAATGCCAGCACAACCAGGTTGGCAATGATAACAGCTCTTATGTCGTTACAACGGATACATGCCCCTTTGTTTCACGTCGAGTGTTTGCTGTCAATCTCAACTGCTGTGATTGGAGCATTTTTCCAACAAAAAGAAAAAAAGAAAAAAAAAAGTCAACTGCTGTATGCGGTGCATGCTGTTGCTTACCTTACTAGGTTGCCGATGACCGATTAATAACTAGCCAACTGCTATGGATGGTTTTGTTTTTTTGGCGGTGATATCGCGGAAAAACACAGGTTACCACGATGCAGCGCATGATGTACAAGCTGTCCAAGCAGTTTGCAGAGGAGCTCCCTGAACCTGCAAAGGTGGCGACATCGGTCAAAGCGAACATTGAAAAGTTCAAAACACTTCTCCCACTCTTTTCATGCCTCTGTAATCCTGGTATGTGGGCTTGGCTTGGCTTGGCTTGGTTCACTTGCAGTCTCCTGCCCTCATGCTTCTTCACACTTCATGCAAGTCGAGCAATGTAAATCTGACAATTTTTTTGAAATAACTTCACTTCGTGCCTTCCGACGCTTAAACCACCAGTACCCCAGGGGGTCTTAGGCCCCCTCGCGGCGCACCGATTCAGCCTCCGCGTTAACGCCTAAAAACGTGGTAGGTACTGGTGGTTTGTTGTCCGGAATCAAAATTTATTTTATTTATTTATTTTTTGAAACTTCGAATACAGGAGCCTACTTAACGAGGTGATAAGATCATCCCCAGTAAGTAGGTCCCGGCTTCGAAGGCTCCATCTATTGGTGGGGAGCTACACCTGCTGGAAATCGGGTCCAGCGTCCCTGTACAATGATGTGAATGTATCTGCTGGAAATCGTGTCCAGCATCCCTGTTACCCTGTACAATGGTGTGGATATATCTGCTGGAAATCAGGTCCAGCGTCCCTATGCAGAGATGAGTTGATATCTCCAACTCCCTATGCATGTCTTATCTATCAGACAGAACCCGAACCTTGATGTGACATGTATTACAATGACGTGATGTATGTCCACTGGAAATCGGGTCCAACATCCCTACAGTGGTGTGTGAGTATGTCCACTGGAAATCGGGTCCAGCGTCCCTATACAGTGGTGTAATTATGTCCTACAGTCAGAGACTGTCTGTATGTGTGCAAAACCCATATAAGACAACATCCATTCTGTCTGTATTCATTCATAGGTCTATACATGTCCTGTGAATGGAAAACCCAATCCCGGCGGATGGAGGGGGGCGCGGTGACGGGCGCACGGTAGCGCTCCACAACGCGCCGCCAGCGGTAGTTTGTGCTGGCGCTTTCCCATCATTCCCCTGTGCTCACAGCATGGGAATGAGGTGACCACCACCTCGCGTCAACATGTTGACGCCAACCATAGCCAAGAGCTTGGGAGGTCTAGGAATCAACGGAGAGTCCCGAGGAGCCATACACACCTCAAGTGAATTACGTGAAGCTGGCGAGCGCTTTGGCGCCCGTCTGAGAGACAGCGTTCGACTAAGATCAGGAATACCATTTTTTTAGGGTTGGACTTTTTCTCTCAAAGAGGTGAGGGGGCCAAGTAGATGGTTGGATAACAAGCGTCCTACTAGTAAAGGGGCTAGCTCGTAGGACGGAAATAGGGCACAGCAGTAGCAGAGATGGTGGGTCGGCTGCAGTAAGTCTTGCCGGAGTGTGGTAAAGAGGATTGATGGGGGGGTTTGAGTCGGTTTTCTGGATTTTTCTGAAGTAAAAAAAAAAAAAAAAAAGAAAGTGGGACGTAATACGTCCGACACCGTGCCGGGTAGCTTGCTATTTTAGATTGATCTGGCGGTTCTATAGTTGATTTGCAGTGGTTTGGGGGGGAAGTGTGAAATGATTGTCAATTGTTTACGCTTTTTCTAATGGGCAGGGTAGCTTGCTATTTTAGATTGATCTGGAGGTCTAGTAAGGACTGAAGAGGCGTCACTGCTCCCTTTCATTAATGTATAATGACTCTTTTTGATTCAATGGGGACACTGGACCCGCTTTCCAGCAGGTGATGCTCCCCACCAATAGACTGGAGCCACCCTTGTCGCAGAGGGTGTTT